TGCATGCTAGGGCCGCCCTGCCATGACAGCAGAACAATCAGAATTAAGCGGCTCTCATCGTCGGTGCGCGCGTGCCCAACTTTTTGGCTGTTTGCTGCGTGACTGCTGCTGCTGCGCTGTGCTGTACAGGAGGTGCGGTGTCGGTCGTCATATAACTCAATTGCATGGATCTCGATCGTCGCCCTGCGCAAAAACGCGAGTTTGCCGCACAGAGTCGCGGCTGTGTTTCGTGGGAGAGAGAGGGATCGAGCGAGACGAGACGAGACGAGACAAGACGAGACGCACAACACTGTGACTAGCTTGCGCGCCGAAAACCCTGATGGCCGCGGCGACGGCTGGCTGATGCATGCGCTGGGAGAAGGCAGCAAGAGCCTATAGGCAGGCAAGCAAGCAAGCAAGTTGACCTTGACTTGGCATTCACGATTGACTTCACCAGATTCACAATTGTATGCCTCACTCACGAACTCCCCAGTCACGACCGAACGAGGCGTCATCGTATCGGCATCACAACACCAGCCATTCATCTCCCTCTTGCTCCAGACCCACCTCATCCGCTCCAAACCGTCGCTCCCACACCTCTTCATTCTCCGCACGATCTTCACGCTTGGGTGCTCCGCGGCGCTTCTGCTCTGTGTGCCCACTGTTCCATCCTCAGAGCTACAGGCCGCTCGCCATCAAGTTGCCTCGAGGCCGCGAGTGACGAGCAAGCGCTTTCAGCGCGATCAGTGCACCTTCGCCAGCGCACGAACAGCATTCGCGACTTACCCCCGCCCGTCCGGCCATCTCCTAGTCAGGACGAGTACTGTCTTGATACAGCGCGTAAAGGTCGACCAAGGGATTTGCGCCATCAAGCCCACCGTTCTTCGAGCTGCTCGCTCAACATTGTCCGACTTGATAATCTGCCGACTAGCCAGACACCTGCAATTCTTCTCTGGCCCTTCGATAGCGCGACTCGTTGAGCATTGGCGAGGTGAGTAGGATGTGCAGGTCATCGTACTCGGACTGCGCGGGTCATTTCGATGAGCTTTGGTGAAAGAAAGGGAAACCACAAAAGAGGTTCAGAAAGAGCATTGCGCACGAGACGCGCCGTGACATTCGCCCTCGCCAAGCATTTGTACAAGTCCCGTCCTAGCGTCATCGGAGCGATGCTTGCCAGCTTCCGCATCGCAAGATTCTGACTAGCTTTCGATTTCGTGAGCTTTCGTACTTGCCACGGCTGTCAGGGCTGATGGTCACCGCTTGCGCTTTGCCGGGGGCAATGACTCTGTCCCGTACTCTGAACGCAATCTTGGCCGCGTCACATGGTGCTTACAAAGCATTCCTACTCCTCACAGAACTTTGAGCTCACCTGCTCGCTGAATAGTCGACGCTCTTCGCATTGCATTGCTCGGCATGGCATTCAACCTTGCGTCCCTCTCAGCATTCTTTGGCGGAGGCGGCAACGCGTCCGGCTCTAGTTCTGGTAGCCGAAACAAACGAACCAACTTTGGTTCGGGTCTGCCATCGTCCAGTAGACGAGGACCTCCCGGCAAGCTTGATCATTTTGAAGACGACAGCGGTGCTTGGTCCCTGCCGTATACTCAGCGATACGGTGGCCCAGGCATGGTCACGTCACCCACTCACAATGGGCCTTTTAGCCCCACATCTGCTCACCCTATGGCAGGCGGCGCTGCAGATGCTAATGGGGTTGGCAGTGCATACCCGCCGACTCCGAACACTGGCAAATCCTGGTCAGGCGGTAACGGAGGTGCTATGGACTTGAATGCTGCGACCAGCGTCACTGCCCTTGGTTCAACGCTCGGTAGGCCTTCAGTCGATGCTAGCTTCTCTGCAAACGTCTCCATCCCCTCTACAGCGTATCCTCCCCTGCGCCACACTTGGAACAGGATCCGCGCTTGGTGCGACGTGCACTACGATGAACTAGGCGACACGCTCAACTGGCCTGCTTTGGACGCCGATTTGGATGAATTGGAGTTCACGATCGGCTTCGCACTGCCTCCCGCGGTGCGGGACAGCTTTTTGTGTTACAATGGACAAGAACTCGAGTCTAATCAGAGCTGCTCGGATGGTCTCTTCTTCGGCTTGCCCCTTCTTAGTCTGGAACAGATCGCAGAAGAGTGGAAGTTCTGGCGAACCGTCGACGAGGACCCTTCAGCGGGTGCCAACGACGAGGTCAAAGGCTGGATGACCAGTTGCCCAGCAGGATGGGTCCGCTCCGAGTATAGCTGCAGAGGATGGCTGCCCCTGATCACAGATCATGTGGGAAACTACGTGGGAGTAGATCTCAGCCCTCCCGCTAGCGGCGGTGGCGCCCCCGGCCAGGTCATTCTCTTTGGGAGGGACTTTGACACCAAGGTGGTGCTCTGGCGTGGCGAGGGTGAGGGAGGATGGGGTCGATTTCTTCAGTTCATCGCAGAAGAGCTCGAGAGCGGAGACATGTGGAGCCTCGAGGCGCAAAGTCAGAGCAGCGATGACGAGGAAGATGGCATTGGCTACGAGAGCTACTTCTCCAACGGCGGCTCCGGAACAGGCAGAGGCGGCGGTGACCGTGCTGGTGAAGGAAGCGCTGGCTTCAGGCTCCGAGGCGACTACAAGGGCTGGCCAGCGCTCGAAGCGTGGGCAGATCGATCTATGCGGTGCTGGGAGGAGGTTGGCCTGACAGCTGGATTGCCGGCCTGGCAGCTGCAAGAGACGCCCAGTGTCCGTCTAGAAGGTGCAGAAGAATCCCAGCGGGTCAACGAGCATGGAGAAGCGCTCGATGCAGGTAGCAGCGGCAGTGTCAACGCACGACGAATGTCTCCGCTCATCGAGCACTCCTCAGATGCTGAAGGCGAGCAGAACCATCCCCTGGCCGGCTCAAGTGCCATGTCTCCAGACTCTACACGATCGGGCGAGACTGTCACACAATCTGACTCTGCCTCTTACATGAACGGCAACCCCTCCATCGACGCACCGCGTCAATATGGCGACATGCTTTCACCGCCCTTGCCTTCTACCAAAGCCTCACGCTCCAAGCAGAAACAGCGCGAGACTGCTTCTGGAGATCCGAAACCACGCCGCAATCCCCCACCACCGGCCACTGCACTAGATCTTCCCACTATTGACGACGTTCGCGCGGCTCACGCAGCAGCCTTGGCAATGTCTTCCACTGGTGGTAACTATCATTTCGACATTGAGCGCAGTCGCCCTCCGCCAGGATCAGGAGGTGCAGGCATGGGAATGGGAATGCGAAGCTCGCCTGTCGTCTCTGGAACTGGCAGTGGCGAGTGGTACCGCGATCGGCCAAGTCGGTCGCACCTATCAAGAGTTGCCAACCAAAGCGGAGATGATGGTCTAGAGATGGATGCGCGCACATCTTCCGACGTTCTCAATCCTCAGGATCCTGCAAGCGCAAGCGTCGTGACGCTTTCTGATGTGGTTATCGATGGAACCAACAACTTGAGTGCCACAGCCTTGGCCAGTCCTCGTCTGTCAAGCTCTTCAAATTCTGGTGGTAGACCAGCGGCGCGCACGCTTCTAAGCAATGGAGAGCTGCCATCGTTGATCGATGCAGGCTCAGCTCCAGCGTCACCTGCTCTGCGGTCCGGCTCGACTTTTGCAGCGCAGCAAGGAAGCGCGCTCGCCTCTGGGGCAAGCAACTTTGGCGAACGAAGCAGCTTTGCGCGAAGTGCGGACAGTCCCACTAGAGTGCCTCCGCCTGCTGTGAAGAGCCCGCCTCATTCTCGCACGAACAGCATCCTCGGCACCCCTCGTCTCGAAAGCCCTTCCATACTACCTCAAACCGCACAGTAGGCGATCTTTGGCGTGATGCGCTGCGGTGCAGATGCACTGGAGCGCGCACTTCTGAAACTTTTCAATTCGCATCATCCAACCCCGACATGAACAGTTGCGGCGATTGCGCTGACTGCTGCGCCATGATGACGAATCCCCATCCAAGCCCTCCCTCCGCCTTTTCGGATCATTGACAATTGCACGCGCACATCATGATTTTTCCCGTCTTCCCGATCAATTCAATCATAACTTTGACCCTGCTCTTTTCGAAATGGCACCAGATCTCCTGCCGGCTCGGCTGAAGAGGCTTGATGGAGTGCGCATTGATTGCTACTGAAGATTTGGGGTAAGATCAAAGTTTGATGCGTTGAAGCGGCAGAGAGATGTGAAAGGGAAGGAAGAGGAACAGAGCGATAGGAGGGGGGAATCAGTCAGAGTCTTCGAGATCGTCTTCTTCGCGCCTACGTCCGCCCAGACCGTAGGAAACGTTTGCTCTGGCAGGAACAGATTGACGCGAGGATTGTGCGCGATTGGAAATCTGCTGAGATGTGGTGGTGCATTTGTTTTGCGCGATGGCGGGCGATGATGGTGCATTGCTAGCGTTTGCGGGATGAGCTGCTTCTTGTTGTTGCTGTTCTTCCAGCCGCCTAGCAAATGCATCTAGGTCCGCATCATCATCATCATCATCATC